ACACACACATCCGGACACAGACTGGACCATAAACGTCATGTGAATGTTACAACAGGATTAGAAATACCTTATTTAAACTGACGAGCCCGTCATCTTGCCATACGCTGGTGACCTACCTTTCTTTTTAAATTGCATACTCCTGAATGTAAAAATATCTATCCCTTGACAGGCCGTAGAGGCTCATGGGTTTCTAAAACATCGAGGCTCCATCATTTTCTAGACAATCGGCTCAATAATGGCGGTGAGGTTGTCAGCCTTACGCGCCGGCCGCCCTTTACCCCCGGGAAAAGATTTCTGGTACTCATTTCTGTTAGAGGCTGAGTCCACCTCAGGGCCACAGTAAGGCTGGAAGGATTATATTAATTTAAAAATCCAATGATATCATTGGGAATCGAACCCGCGACCTGCCGACTTGCAGCATAGTGCGTCAACAAACTACGCTACTGCTTGCCACGACGTACATCAGCATGCCAGAGCAGAGTCCCCAAGTTACTTCCTGCACATGATCACACACAAATTCGTTTAAATGTATTGGCAGGCTCGTTTCGGGCTGTCGGCCACCTCCAGTATCACTAAGACTACAGTTATAATCACTGACACGTGTAAGATTTCCAATACATCCTGTACAACCCCCCCCCCCCCACCACNGTCAGTTAGTAGAAGTAACCTTGGACATGCAAATCATGGCCACGAATTCAGTCAAGGTTGGCTTTATCAGTGTAGATGCCCTGGAAGGAAAAATTGGGACGCCCTTGCATTGGATGAACAGTCCCTCAAATGCTGAGATTGCTGACGGTACTCATTTTATTATTATTCCTTTTCGTCACTCCCCAAGTGAAAATTTGAACAGTGACCGCCGTGAGAACTCAAACCAACAGCTTTTAAGTATGATTCGACCTCACGTAACTTTATATTTGCTAGGCAAATGCTTCAATAATTATGCACTACACTATGAAGACGTACTGACGAGCACAGATATAGATTTGCGTATTCTTAACTAGACGGATGTGACATCTTCATAGCTGCGGCCGCTCTTCCCCCTGGGAAAAGTTCTCAGTACTCATTTTACAGGATGTTAAGAGAACCCCAGAGCCCGTCTAGACGAGGGGGGTATGAGGAAAAGATGCTGCCCCTACAGAGATTCGAACTCTGATTACTTGGTAGTACATCCTGTAGCACATCGCTGCATCGAATGAACTATCCCGACCCCATATCTTGCAGGTACGAACCTAAGTTAAATTCACTGGACAACTTTTACTGTAACCGCCAAAATACCAAATTCTGTGGAAACCGTTCAGCAGTAGGAACATTGTGAAGGAAGTACAGAAGTGACTCAGATGCAAACCGCGCTTACCAGCATGCGCATTCTGTAGTGCACCACAGCTGACAACATGTTCGTATACTCTGACGGATATTTCATCTTCATCACCTTCTCCGACACGGATACGGGGAGCTTCCCAACGTCCTTGGACACAGCCGACAACGCACTTGTGAGTGACTCCATGTTCCCAACCTCCGAATCGAGCTGCTTCCAGTGCTCCTCAAAGTCCTGCTGTTTCATCATCAGGGGAGTTGTTATGGTCAGGATCTTGTCTTTGGTAGTGGGCCTGTTGTCGGTATCTCCTTCCGACGAACAACCTTCATCTTCGTTGAACTGTATGAACCACGCTTCATGTTTCGAAAGTCTGTCTTCATCTGCAAAGGGTCGCTTCTTGCAAACAGGTGAGAGAGACACAGGATCACAGTAGTGCGTGGGCAGTATCACATCGCCATTTGAATTTGCAATCGGGTCGTCTTCAGATTTGCCCGACTCGAAATCGCATGTCCGAACTTCGGCCAAATTCTTGACGTCAGAATTTGTTGACGTCGAAAGAAATGCCTCGCTGACGATCATACCTCCGTTTTTGCCGTTGACAATCCCATCAATTTCTTCTTGAGATGTCGATTCTAATACGGGCAAGGAGTCCGTAATTCCAGGTGTGGTCGGTGTGGATGAGTCAGCAAAGCTTGAATCGGATTTGCTGCCTTTTATGATAGTCCACTGGTCAATTGGTGCTGCCGCATCCTGATTGGGTGTTGCGCTGACTTCCTGACTCGTTGCAGCTGATGAAACAGATGGGCTTACGACGCTTTCCTCTTCGGTGGAGAAAGATTGGTATTCGTCTTGAGAAGAGGGAGTATCCGCCGATTTGACAGCTTTCCTTGACCCACTCGCTTTGTACTTTCCAATACTTAACTTCCGAACAAGCGAGGAAGCCTTGCTCGGTATGGACTGCTTGTTGCCTGGAGAGGGTGTAGACGCTGCACTGCTCTCAGACTCTTGTCTGTCGCTATTATCACCCATCCTCTCTTTCTTGGTCTTTGCCTTCTTTTTCGTCTCCTTCACTTCAAACCTAGAATCTTCCTCGGAATTTATCTTCTTTTTTCCGCCGAATTTGAAAGAACCCAATTTGACACTGCCAGATCTGGTTTTGGCTATGGACTTCAATAAGGCTCGACTATTTTGTGACGATGGTTCTGTTTTCTTTAATGGGGGAAAATTATTTATTTCTGAAATGTCCGGGGAAGAAACACCTGTTGCAACATTTTGTCCTTCTAGTTCAGTTTCCATTTTGGTTCCAACAGTAATCACATTCAACAAGTAATATTCAAACTAATGATGCTTTTAAATCTACGAACTTTCAGTAATCATAACAATTACAATGTAATCAAACCTGAATGGTGACAACACACGAAATGTAATGTCAAATTATATTACAACCGCACGTCTCACTACAGAAGAACCCAGCACAACAGCACACCGGCCCAACTGGCTACAAGACAGCAACTGTTCCCTGCCCAACGCGACTACTCACTACTACCGACGCTACCGACTGCTGTAACAGCAGAGGGTGGAGGGGCGATATCTGAAAGACGAGATTGGGTGCGCCGAGGGGGAGGGAATGTTGAAATATAACGTTTCAGCAACAGTAATCACAGAAGGGCAGACATGACACAACGAAAATAGTTTTAAAAAAGTAGTATTTCGATAGAAACACGAATTTTAAATAAACTGAAACAATAGTTTCACTTGTGTATGAGGAAAAGGCACGAACAGGAAGAAAACGATTCACATTCAGTATCAGAACCACAAGAGACGATAGAAACATTCTATAACGTACATTCAAGGCTGTCACAATTTTTAAACGTGACAGCAGCCAAAGAAATGTGACTCTCCAATCTTTTTTAGTCACTGGATCCAACTTTTTGTTTTCTTTGTCCAAATGCCTTCTCGGCCAGCAAGTTTAAGAAGGGTGGGGTTCAGTACCATCCTGCATGAATGTTATTCATGGTCTCTACAGTGCTCACTAGCCTGGTTGTTCATAGAAACAATATATTAATTTTCATTAGATAGTAACTCTTGCGAATCACTGAAAGAGTGATGGAGCAGGAAATAATAAAAGAAGAACAAGTGAAAAGGGAAAATCATGGGAAAAGTGAAAGCAACTGCGTAACGGGGGATGAACGCTATAAACAGCGGTTCGAAATAATGGCTGCGGAATTTTGATTTTGTAATTAACAGTAAACTGCATAATTTGGAAAGATTTTGTTGGCCTCCATAGACAAGGGGTTTGAGCTTTTCGTGAATTTAAGTAGCGAGGGGCGTGCGCAGCAGCAACTTCGAACTAGGGAACCATCTCAACACTTGCGTCAAGACAGAGGAAAACCAGGAAACCCTGAGTCGAGACGGCCAGTTACAGGACCTTCCGGGCACATAATTCTAGCCAGCAGTCCGGCAAACACGAAGCGTGGAACTCAGCATGCACGGGTTCCCTCACACGACTGCTGTTCCTCTATTTCCTATACTTTTCGTGATTTACTTTACGAACTTGTCAGTATCGAGACCTCACAGCATTGGATAGCAGGATGACTTATGAATTGGAAAGGATTTGGAAGAAAGCGGTTCTGGTCTTATCGAGGTACTATCCAGGCACTTCCCTTGAGAAACTGAAATATAGGAATATAGGACGTCAAAGCAAAAAGCCCTGGCTCTAACAACACAAACACAGCTTCCGCAAAAGTTATCATTAATAAGAATTAACTTTGAACGGACGGCGATACCAAGAGGCCTGTCCAAGAAGACACTTAACGGAGGCTTAAATTCTAATTCTCCTGTTATGCATAAACTGACTAGAATGTGGGCACATGTACCCAATTTCCGGTCCGCTCTCATGGCAACGGCGTATCCTACGATCTCTCGATTTCATCTAGCATAGGGATAGACGCTAGGGATTAGCATTGATACTAGTTGGTTGAGGCACTATGCTACAAGCCGGAAGGTCGCGGGATCGAATCCCGATGAGGTGCATTTTTTCAATTTACCTAATCCTTCCGGCCGCAATATGGCCCTGGGAATATGGCCTCTAATGGAATTGAGTACCAGGAATCTTCTTGGGTGTAAAGGGCGGCCGGCACGTAAGGCTAACAATCTTACCGCCATCTATGAGTCGATTGTCTAGAAGATGTGGGAACCTCAACATCTCACAACCTTATGGACCTCCACGGCCTGTTACAGGAATAGCTTTACTTTTTACGGCCTACGAATTAGATCCGTTGGAATCCCTCGTGACGACGAATCCAAGGCGATTCATCATCTTTATTAATTGCTGTCACACGCCGTCCAGACGCACTAGAGACAGCAACTTCAGTAGCTGTGAATCTGCGTAGGACGGAGGTTCTAGCTTCGGTAGTTATGAAGAGATGTACCTTCTGAGACACGGCGTTGTGTCCCAGAAGACAGAACTCTTCAGCTAAGGATCTACTTTCGCCATAAAGGTTACGCGACTAAACTCTGGTTAAGGGCCATCAGTAGCTTGGCCAACTTCCATGAGTTTTGGAAATGGCGGAGTCTGACTGCTGCATTAATTATGTTTCAAATGATGTAGATTAATTTCTTAGTGAGCCCCCTTAAGATTTATACTGAATGTTATCGCTTTCTGCAGCATTTCGCGGGTTCTTAATTTGCCATTCTGCTTCCGAAACGTCAGCGGGCCTAATACCACCCAATCGGGGACGTTTCAGTATCTCTTGCACTTGTAGATCTAGTGTTCCTATGAAGCTGATATCCGGTCGTTACATGTAAACATATATGCGAAGTCATTATCATTCTCTTCTCCCGACACTACCACGAAGCTGTCTGGTCCTGCTGCTGCGGGGAACGCTTCAAATAATGAACCTACTTCCGAGAGATCTGAGGTTCTCACACACGTGGCTATGAAGTATGCGGGTCTCTTGAATATGACGGAATGTAGTCCGGTAGAATTTTACAGACATTTCGGACCTCTGTTGTCTAGCGGTCAGAGTTCCTGGCTACACATCCAGACGTCCGGGTTCGATTCCCGGGGCTACCAGATTTTCTGAGCAGTAGTTTGTCTGGAACGGGGTCCACTCAGCTTCGTGAGAATAATTGAGGAGGTACTTCAATGGAAAAGTAGCGGCTCAGGTCTAGAAAACCGAAATTAACGGCCGTGGGTATTCGTCGCGCTGACCACGCGCCACCCTCTATCCGCTAAAGTTTGCACTAACTTCGCCGACAAGCGGCGGTCGCTCGGTTGGTATAGTTCGCTTGCGGACTAAAACCACGGAGTTTCTTTTCCTTTTCGGAGAAACGTGCTGTCTCTATCTTCAGGGCCAAAATTACGTCAGGTAAAAAGGAAGAACAGCATGTTTCTCGGAAACGCTGGTAAACTTCTACCAGACAACAAGGCATCAAATTCCACAAGATATGAAGCCCAATCTTGTGTAAAACTGCTTATTTGTTATGACCAAATTATGAATACAAGCCGTACATATTTACGGTTCACCAAGGAAACAAAGGCACAATGCCGCATTCTATATTTTCTCTTGTTTACTATCGTCTCGCCAAGGAGCGATCGCTGTATGCATTAATCGGTTGTCATGCACCGAAACAACGGTTGCCAAATTTCTATTTTCGAACTACAAAATCACGTGTCAGTCTCTTAGCAACAAGTCCGGAGACAGTTTGAAAGCTGGAACATTCTGAGTGGCAAAACAATGATGAACGAGTGATTTTCATTCCAACCAATGCGGTTCTAATTATATGTCTTGTGTACTGAAGTCCCCTGGAAACTGTTTATACTTATTCACGTTATCTGAACAACATGTACATTGACCCTCGGACTTGTCTCTCCTCTCCACATGGCATTCAGCACGTCTGCAGCAATAAAATCACATGTGCCCTTCCTCAACTGCATCACGGATGCAATTTTCTGGCACTGTCCGCAAGGATATGTTACAGAAATGCACGTCCTAGCTTCGCCTATACCTTGACGCATGCAACATCTCGAGATCCGCGTTTGACGGTCAGCCGAGCCGCCTGTTTGAAAGCTGCTCCGTCGCCAAGTGCAGTGCGATCTTGTGGAAATTACGATCGAGTAACAGAGCGACGCCAGGGTGTGCGGAAGTGATTCTGGGTCATGGGGCTGCATTTTCTTAAAACTTCATACGTACTAAAGAAAGAATTCACTGGAATGAACTTTCTGTCAGTCAATTTCCAAGTGTGTTCCTTCGGCCGCCTGGCAGATACTTAGCCTCCCCTCTTTCGCGATAGTTTTTATATTATTATTTGTATGTATTTTTGAATGATGTCATTACGCGGTAGCATAGTTGATTGAGGCACTATGCTACAAGCCGGAAGATCGCGGGATCGAGTCCCGATGTGGTCATTGGATTTTTAAATTGACCTACTCCTTCCAGCCGCACTATGGCCCTGGGGTCGACTCAGCTTCTAACAGAAATGAGTACCAGGAAGCTTCCTGGGGGTAAAGGACGGCAAGCGCTTAAGGCTGACAACCTCACCGCCATCTGTGAGCCGACTGTCTAGAAAATGTTGGAGCCTCGACGTCTCACAACCCTATGGACCTCCATGGCCTGTTACAGGGATAGCTTTACCGCAAAAAAACGCACCGGGATGATAAATCTGGAAGCTACAGAACAGGGTTCGGATGTCATTACAGGCCTGCACCCACTAAATGTGGATCTCCCGCTGCGGAGTTACGAAGTTTCCCATGTGCACACAGATCTAAAACCGCGGATAAATGAAACGCGTTACTGGCAAGATCTTGTTTGGTGAAGGATCGTATAGGACCATCTCTTTCAACTATTGACCAAGTCTAAAGTTACCTCTGACTAGTCACGTACATAACATTTGCAGATTTCTTTAATACACTGCGCCGATTTGGAGAAACCAACTGCCAACTGCAGTGACATTGCAGATGCGTTCCTTTCAGCCCACATCTCCTGTTTATCTGTCCTAGGTTGTGAGATATTACAGAAGGGCGCGTGGTTATGACAAGTCAATTCAGAGGGCCGTGTGCAGCGAATTACTGCGATGGCATACACTCCCGCGTAATTAATGTCAATACAGGAAATTCGTTTCATCTTTAATTACCATTGTACCGTGCGCTACTGGTCCCTTGAAGTTCACAACTGAGTAGGGCGTTCTCTAGAGAGAATTCATCCACGCATGAGGAACGGCGAAATGAAACAAACCAAGGCTACTGAAGACATACATGAACAATGTTACGTCTACTGACGACTCATGAAATACGACGAAACTTAACCGCTGAAACCTGAAATTTTCTAAATAATATTTTCAGATTCGGCTCTATTCAAACCGCGCCACAGCTCAGGCGGGTAGTTGACGGCTTCCGACCCCGGTGGCCAGGGTTCGATCGAAGATCAGGTCATATGGGTATGCTCCACATGCATTACTCAACATATCATGGACACAGCAACGACACTAACAGCATCGTTAAATAACCTACTTCATAGAAAACACAATGAGTCTGCATTACAAAAAC